TTAGTCTATCTTCCCAGCTTATATCGTTTAGGACTTGATTTACCTGCTCCCACTTTATGTTCTTGTTATTGAAGTTGAATTTGGTGAAGGCTCCCTCGTGACTAATCTCATTTAGTCGGTCTGGGGCTCCGCGCATACATGTCTGAACTCGATTATGCTGTGAACTGAGTACATGTATATTGTTTTTGATATGGTGACATTTCGTATCAGATCATCATTGCTAGTGAAGATGAGGTCTAGTGTATTCTCCAGTCTAGTAGCCTCTATTATTTGCTGGTTTAAGTTGAATTTTGTCCAGAGATTTAAAAGCTCCTGTGTGTGTGAGTTCTCGTCAGAGTTGCCTCCTGGGGTTATCACTGCAACAACATTATTTGCTATATTCCTCCATTTTAGGTGCCTCAAGTTGAAATCCCCAAGGAGCAAGATGTTGGGGGCAGGAGCTGGCAGATTTCCAGACAGTGGTCAATTTTTGACAGCTGTTCCTGGAATTGCTGGGACGTTGCATCCGGAGGCTTGTAGACTACCACAATGACTAGGTTTTGGTTCTCGATCTTTACTGCTAAAACTTCCACTACGTCATTTGAGGCATTAAGCAGTTCTGTGCAAACAAGTGACTCTGCAATGTACAGGCCAACCCCTCCCCTTTTGCCTGTTCACTCTGTCACATCTGTATAGGTTGTAACCTGGGATCCATATTTCGTTGTCCAAGTGATCCTTTTGTAGGTCTTTTTTGGAAAGCCGCGAACATTGTTTTGCCTCTGCAAGCAGTCCCGGATGAAAGGTATTTTGTTGTTCGTTGGGTTTGGGACCTGTATATTTGCAAAGAAGAGTCTGGGACGGGGTGGTACGGGGGGAATTTTTTTTTCCCGGAAAGTGTAAAGGGGACCCCCGTTTTTACATCACCCCCAATGCGCCCCAATTAGTAAGTGGTTCGTAGTGTATTTTGGGGGGGTCTGAAAGGACTAATCTAATTTCACAATTTCCTATGGGAACAAATTCGTTCGTACTGGCCCTGAACATATTTCTGGAATGAAATAATATCGAAAACCCGGGGTTCCACTGAAATTTTAAATTTTAAAGATTTTACAAAAAATAAAAGAAATAAATATTCTATAGCTTGTGCTAAAGGGTTTTTAAAAAGTTTGATAAAAGAATTACGGGTTTGATCTTTAAAACCTAAAGCGACAGAATGGACTGATTTATTTTTTGAGAGGTTTAAAAATTTAAAGGTATTATATATTGATCAAAATTTTTTTTTACGTGTTCTAAAAATTGAGAAATGAAAGTACAGTGGACCCCCCCTTAAAATCCCCCCCCCCAACGCCCAAATTTATGAGTGTTTTTGTAAAGTGGTTTGTACGTGTATTTTTGGGGGTCGAAATGGACTAATCTACTTAAAAAATTTCCTTTTTGGGGAAAACAAATTCGGTCAGTACTGGCCCCTGAACAACTTCTGGAATGAAAAAATCTTTTAACGGGGGCCCACGTATAGTTTTTACTATTTAGGGGGGGGGGGGAAGGTTAGGGAGAAAAGTGTTTTTTAACGGTTTTTTTTGGGGAAAATGCGGCGGACCATTTTTTCAAATTTCTGGCAGAGTTCCATTTTTTGGGTCCTTTTATATAATTGGGAATTTTTGAAGAGATTTAGCCAGGCACTAGGAATGTCAGACTTTTTTGCCTAGTATTTGTCTATGGGTCTTGTTAACTGTCAAGGGGAAGACTTCGTCGGGATTTATAAAATTGACCATCTTTGTCGGCATCATCGGCCCTTGGGTGCCGGTTTAGTGTTTTTCCCAAATTACAGAGTTGTTGGGTTTGGAAACTTTAAAACCCTGTGTGATTTTTACGCATCAGCGATTTCGCCCACTGTAGCCTTTTTGGCCCTTTCCATTTTTCCATTTGCCTAACTCATAGCTTTTTTCCTAGCACCCTTCCTTTCTGTGACTGGTATAAAAAATTGCCCGTTTACCTACTTCAATACCCGATAAAAGTGGTCAAAATCATAATTTGGCCAATTCACACAAATTTCAAAACAGGCCCAAAATAAACAATGCAGACATTCCTGGACAAAATAAATGTTTTCTGTTCTTTGTACATCTCCAGGGCCCCTCTTTTTTTACCCTTTTTTCCCATTTTAAATTTTATTTACACAAAAATAGAAATTTTACGGGATGCACTACTGCATTACTGTAGAACTGTATAAATAATGTTAACCCCTTTAACAAGTGTTAGACCCCCCGTTTAAAACACATTGGGCAGTGATATTGTTTGTTTTACTCTTCAACATTGGCAAAAATCAAAAATTCCCCTGCTTTGAGCTCAATTTTAAGGGACTTTCCATCATAAACCCCAAAGAAGAGCATGTCATTTCTGTAATAATCTTCAACGATCAAAAGGACCAAAAAAAAGGAGAAAACAAACCCTAAAAACCACACGAAAACACACCGCAAATTCCGTTTTACAAAATAAACGCCGTTTATTCTCATTATGCATGCGTGCT